AAAGCCTTACAAGTGTGTGGTGTGCGAACGTGGCTTTAACCAGGCCGGGAATCTGAAGTCCCACATGCGCCTGCACACAGGAGAGAGGCCGTATAAGTGTCACCACTGTTTCCAAGGCTTCAATCACAATGTGAGCTTGAAGAATCACATCAGGCGTTGCCACACACCCGACTCTGAAATCGAACAGAAGACAACAAACAAAAGGAAACATGACGATGAGGATTATCAAGATTTTTGGGATAAAGATTCAGACTCTAGTCTTGTAAATTCAGAACAGGATACAGACGATGAATTGCAGCCGGAAGAATCGCAACCACACAAAACTAATGAGAAAAGTACAGTTAGGAGCGGAAGGCTGAAGAGAAATGAAGATAGCTTGTTTCAAGAAGAAGCGCAAGAACAGAGCTCAGACATAAATGTTTCTAAAATAAATAAAACTAGAAGGACTCGGAGAGCGCAAACCTCTAAGATCCAAGGGTCAGTCACACAGTAAAATGTTTGGAATGGTTAAATTTCAAAACACTGCAACTGAAACACCTGGTTTTAGACCATATCGATTTCAGACAGCTTCCTCTTGCATCCACAGTTAAACCTGTTGGATGTGGTTCATAATTCTTGGAGGTATGCTGACATTATCCTGGATACCGTGGCTCTTGATACATCACAAAGACTTGTTCTCTTGGTCACAGATGCACCAGCAAGATGTGCACCAACAATTTGTCCTCTTTTGAACTCTGGTATGTCACTCATAATGTTGTGTGCCCTGCAATACTTTGAGCAAAACTGTGCTCTTACCCTGCTAATTGAACACTCTGCTCTTATTTCCTCTTCATGTTTTTTTTTTTTTTTTTTGGCAGTTGGCAAACAACTTGTGGTGTGTGTTACTGCCACCTTCTAGAATGGAGTGAGGGTCAAAATGCTATATTTTCTGTACTGATTATTACTTTGACTCATTTTTTGTACTTGTATTTGTTAAATTATTTTCCTTACTTACAAAAAATAAAATAAAAATAACTTACAGCGGGTAAAATAAGTATCAAACACGACACCATTTTTCTCAGTAAATATATTACTAGAGGTGCTAATG